GTTTATCTGTATTCTGCCTGCTATGGATACACTTGTAGAGTAATAAGTTGATGTTGTTTTATAATCAGTGTTTGTATATTTAGCCATCTGACATGACAGTAATGTTTATCTGTATTCTGCCTGCTATGGACACACTTGTAGAGTTATAAGTTGATGTTGTTTTATAATCAGTGTTTGTATATTTAGCCATCTTGTGACAGTAATGTTTATCTGTATTCTGCCTGCTATGGATACACTTATAGAATTATAAGTTGATGTTGTTTTATAATCAGTGTTTTGTATATTTCGCCATCTCATGGCAGTAATCAGTAATAACTTGAACCCAATGATTAACTGACTAGCAAATTCTACTGATTGTTATATTTACTAATAGTAATCTTTTCTGTTGCTTAAGGTTTTATTGATATTCAGTGTTTTGATTTGGTTCACAACTAATTTTTTGATACTGAACATCTTTTATTATATATATATTTTATCATCATTATTTACTTCATTTTTTGTTTAGTAAAGTGTATTTTTTTCAATAAAAGCTAATTTGTATGAATTATTTAAGAAAAAAGATATATGTCTGTATGGTAATTAGAAATTAAGCATTTTATTATAAGTGAAAAGATTTTGTGGAATTATTTCCTCCCACCCCATAAATAAAGACTGTACTTGAGTTAGTCACAAAAACAATGTGGCAACCTTGTATCAGATAATCCAGCAATCCTAATTAGTTGGTTAAAGTCTTAGTTATGTGGTTTCAGATAATTAACAAAAGCTCACTGTTAAACTGATGCAGCAGTCTGCTGATGTTAATCTACACATATCTATTCTAGAAACAGAAAAAATTCCAATCCTTAATTGGGTGAACTGTTAAAGAATCATTGTTACATGTTTTCAAGAACCCAGTTGATTCTTTAGTATACTTATTTACACTGTTATAAAAAATTCTAAACTTTATTGGTTACAAATACAATTCTGGTACTTTAGCCATCATATGTTCTTCTGGATCTCATATACCTTCTCAAACTTTCTCATGGACCAAGTGAAGTATTTTTTGTATCTTGGTGGACCACAATGGGATCTGTACACTGTGTTACTGCTTTATTTCTGTGATTACACACCTTTCCACAGACAACAGTTTAATATTTAAAATGACACATTGTGCTAGTTAAAAATATCATCTTCTCTTTAACACTTCTAAATTACTTTTACCATCCTGTATAGATAAGATTAAACCAGAAACTTTCTCTTATGTTTGGTTTCAAGAAGTGCTCTGCCAACAGAAGTGGCCGTGTTTAAGTATAGACAACTGCCAGCCCTGACTAGAACTCGTAATGAAATCTTGAGCAAATAATACACAAACTACAAGCTCAAAGCAACTAAACATTTGTCAAATTCTCTACACTTTTATTTTTTGAGGCAACAATATCCTCACAACAGAGGCAACAATACCCTCAGACTAGAGATCAGTGGTTTAAACAACCAATTAAAATCTCTGTTAGTATGAAATATGACATTGATAATTACAGTAATACCTCAGTACCATAGTTTAGAACCTTAAGAAACAGATCTTGATCCTCATTGGTAATGTTTTGAACCCTACAGAACTTCAAGACATAAATAGATGGCTTTCCAACTGGATCATTACAACTGTGTAATCCTTTTCCCCAAAGAAGAATATTTAGTAGAACTTTGTAATCCTGTACACCTGTTTTTTATGACTTGTACTGTACACCTCTCTACCAACCTAACTATAATGAAATGCATTACCTGTACAACATAAAGTAGATGTTTTATTAATTTTGAATGTTTTTAATAGTTTTGTATAATTTGTGTAATTATTTTATAGTTTTCATAAAATTGGCAATGAAATTGAGAATGTAATCTTTTGCTATTTAACATATTAAAGAAAGGAAATATCTAACATTACCTAAGTACTTATAATATAATGTTATTTATTGGCTTTTTACACAAAAGCATTATCAAAAATATTAAATGGTGTATATTTAAAATATGTCATTGTGCTAGGATAAACTTTATTTATGTTACAAGTGGGATACCTCAAAGCTCAGTCTTAGGACCTTTACTCTTTTTGATTTACATCAATGACATGGATGAAGGAATAGTCAATAAATT